TGTGGGAAGAGAACTTCCCTAAAATAAGTTTCTTTAAACTGCAGTTAGAGATCCTTTGTGACTAAGGATGCTTGTCTGTTTACCTAGTAAAAACCCTTTGTTAGAAATTCTGTCACTGGTATTTTTAATAAGATTACAATTATTTGGCCAATTTCAGAGTCATAATTCAAGTCCAAGAAAGGTTCAAAGTTCCAACGTAGATTTATAAATGTGGTGGCTCCAATATAGGCATCTAGTGTCCTTCATTATTCCAGTTTTCATTATTCAATATCTCCTTCCTATTTTACATCACTAGGAGAAAAATATACACAAGAAAAAAGTCTACTATTTGGTATATGCTTATTTTACTTTCCTAACTGTATTAACATGTTTACTTTAAAATTTCAGGTGCAAAACACTTGCTTAAAAAATAGTCCTTGTCAAGATAAAAACTACCTTATAGAAATAAATTTCCCCCACTTCTATGTTTAAATTCTCCATTTCTAAAGTTACTAACATCTTTTTTTTTTTTTTTAAGGTGTTTATTTTTATTTTGTTTTGGCCATGCTCTATGGCATGTGGGATCTCAGTTCCCCGACCAGGGTTTGAACCCGTGTCTCCTCCATTGAGAGCATGGAGTCTTAACCACTGGACCACCAGGGAAGCCCCCATCTTTTTTAAAAACCTAAAATTGTATATAGTATTTCAAAAGTATTTTACTTTAATAATGATAATAGGCTATAATAATAAACTAGTTGGTATAATATTTTGGCCTACTGCATTATAATTTTCATTCTTGTTATTAGCACTTGAATGATTCCATTCATGATTTCTAAAATCCTTACTCCACAAGAAAAAAAAAAAAGCCTTATTAGTTCATAGCCTAAAAGCTTTCTAGATCTAATTTCTTCCTTTTGCAGTTCTTAAAGCCGTTTCAAATAAGGCATCACTAGAACAGATAAACGGAGAAGGCAATGGCACCCCACTCCAGTACTCTTGCCTGGAAAATCCCATGGATGTAGGAGCCTGGTAGGCTGCAGTCCATGGAGTCGCGAAGAGTCGGACAAAACTGAGCGACTTCACTTTCACTTTTATGCATTGGAGAAGGAAATGGCAACCCACTCCAGTGTTCTTGCCTGGAGAATCCCAGGGATGGGGTCGCAGAACAGATAAAATAGTAGTGGAAAAAAAGAGAAACATCAAAGAACAGAAAAATTAAAGTCTGAATCCTATCGACTGGATTCTTACCTTGTCACTGTGCAATCATTCCTTGAGCAGAACAGGGGCATCCTTGTTTGCCTCAGTTGCCTGCCTTCCATTCAGACATCAGTCCAGGTTCAGCTTAGGCCCTCCATAAAGCAACTCCAAGTGCTGCCATGTGTTACTAGAAAAGTTAGCATATAGCCCACCTACTGGATTTAAGTTCCAGCATCTGGCAGGGCCCTGGACTCCTGCTTAGGTCCTCAGGATGTATTTGAGGTACTGTCTACATTGATGTTATGGCTCATCTATAGGAATACATAGAGGAAAACAATTAAGAACATAAATAAGGAGCACAGAGCTTGAATTTATCATAACTTCTAGGTTTGACTTAAGTTCCCCCAAAATTCACTACAACCCTAGTCTTTTATATTAGGCTCAGGGCTAACACCTCGTGTTCTTAAGTGACTAATTATTAACAGAATACCCCTGCAGGGAATTACTTTTCTTGTTAAAATGTGGTCATGAGCATTAGGATAGTCTGATGAACTCATCTAATATATTGACACAGTTTAAAGATCACCGCTTACCATGCTATAAATTTACCAATAAATTTTGGTTTCAGTGTCTACTGATGTTTAAAAGCTATGTCAGTTTATCCAAATTTTGCTCCTTAAAAAAGTCAATTAGACATCTGTCAGTTTTACTGCTATCAGAGGCTACAGTCACTCAATCGAGAGCTCTGCAGTAGGTCAACCCCGGCTTTGGCCTCAACCTTGGCTACCTGCTCTTTCACTTTAGTGAATCTGTGCACTCCCCTTCTAGAAGCAGAATCCAGTTCTGAGTCTGCTCTCACAGTAAGCTGTGGCTCTAAATCCTGGTCTCCCTGCTTATGGACAGTCATGTATGACGCTAACCAGGGCTGAATCCTATTCATCTGAGGCCCTCTTCTTTTCTCCCTTGCTTGGTCAGAGATCACCTTTTTAAGTCCATTCCCTTCACCTCTCTCTTGAGTATTACCCTTTGATTCTAGGTGAACTCTACCTCACCCTGGCTGTATGAGTTTTAACCATCAAGAGTGTACATATATTTCAATTAAATGACCATTGTAAGATATTTAAAACTTTGTACATTCATCAATAAGCAATACAGATACGCCTCAGTTAGACTGTAAAGTTCAGAGTAAGCAAGACATTTTTGTGTCAATGAAGTGTGTAAAATATCACCTAATCAACTAAATCAACCAGCCCTTTGAGCAAGAAAGCAAATTCCTTTGGCTATGGTTTCAGGCTTGATTCCTTTAAATACCAGCAATCAAAAAATCTTAACATGAAAGTACAGGCAGATTTCAAACCAATCAGACAAGGTAAGAATTAAATTCTAGTGTATCTTCAGTATTTTTACAAATGGCTTTCAAAAGCAGATCTCTTACTTGTTCAAGTAGGTAGGAGAAAAACCAGAACACAATTCAAGAATCTGCTAATTGCATAAAGTTCCATAATTGTTTATATTTACATTTTGGACAGAAATGGGAGGTAAAGGTCAAAGCCTGTTATTCTGTCCTTTTAGGAGATTTTCTAAATTCTTTGGACTCTTTTCTTTTTTAATTTCCCCATGGTAGGGTTTGCTAAATTATAAAGTCATCTTGAACATGTACTCATTACATGTACTCTGAACATGGCATTAGAGAACATGAACATGTACTCTGTCACATGGCATTAGGTATTTACCATGATCTGGATTCAGACTTGGCTCAGATGAGGTACAAGACCGGGTTGAAAACAAATGACAACCAAGATACTTTGATTTTACTATTCCTAAGATTGGAGAGACAGAGCAAATATTTGCTACAAACAATAAACAAGAGAGACACAAACAGCAGTTAACATTTCTGCAATTCAAGACTTAAGTTCTAAAAGGATGTCAAAACTCTAAAGACACTATTATATTTAATCGTGATGTCAATCACCTCAAGGAGAGAAACATAGCTCCTGAGAAACTGCTTTGTTTTAATGATAGAAAGGCATTTTTCATGTAAACTGATGGGCAGAGCTCTATCAAAAGAAAACCAACACTGCAGCTTATGGAGCCAACAGGAAAGATGTTTAAAAGTCTCCCACTTCAGTAGATGCATTATACATAGGGTTTGTTTCTCATAAACATACTGCTTAGAATGTAGGAGAATGGGTTAAAAATGATTTTGCACTTTTGTAGTTTTTATCTTGTTTGTTTAAAATGGTGTGCTAAATGTTTCAGTCTCATATAAACTAGTCTCCTAATCCTAAATTTGGAAAATCTGTTTTTTTCCCTCACCCATAAAGGTCCAGATACAGAACTATAAGCTTTCAATGTCGGACATACTGTTCCAAAGGAAATATTTTTGTACCACACTAGTGACCAGATATGATAAATAGTACATCCCCAGAACCTGGGTTATATGAACATGATGCTTCTAAATCCTTCTACACAATAGTTTTAGGTGGTCCAAAGAGCAAAAAGTAGTCACTGTCATCAGTATTTATTATACATCAACAGGGTGCGTAGCAGTAAGATTAGCTTTGTTTTCACTAAAACATCTACAATTATTGATGTTCTTTTGGAAGCATTCTGTCACTTCTGTGCATTTTTCTCCATTGGTCACAATAAATTTTTTTCTTACAGAGTAAAAATGAATAGCAGCTTCTTAAATATGAGAAAGACAGTCAATTCCCAGCTGACTCTCGCTAAACAAGGGAAGGAAAGAAAAATTCACTACTAAATAAACAAATTCTTAAGGGAAGAATTGTTTAAACAACTTAAGGGAAGTTGTCAGTCATTCCTTTTTTTGCAATCTGTCCAGAACAGTTTGCCTCAACGTCACTTAAAAGGCTACATGAAATTGCTGAGTCAGCACCATGCCTTCTGTCTGGCAAACTTGTCCCTCACTGGCAATCAGACATAGCGGTTTAGAACAGATTCCATGGGAAACACACTAAATGAAAGTTAAAACAGAGCTTAATGGCAGATTAATACTCAGAAACAAGGACAGACAGGAATCACAGAAGAGATAGGAAGGAGTCTCACTATGTTGACTGGCATGAAGAGCTCTTTTCTCACCTACTTACCCTAACCAAAAAGGCTGACTAAAAATATCAAATGTATCACACCAAGAGCATTCTGTATAATGTGGGACTGGCTGGTAGGGTTTCACAAACCTGCTCTGCCATCAGACTTCTGATAAGACTGTGCCAGAGAGGAATGATACTTCCCTGTAAAAAGCCAGAGATCTGACTGCCATCTGGAGAACAAAGACAGGGGCTAGAGAAGCTCAAGCGAGAACAAGCTTGTCTAATTACTACCCTACGCTCCAGAAGCCTCTTGACTTGCTGTTACAAGAGAAGACATAAATTCTTTCCCTACTTCCTTTCTCCTCTCTCTCCAAAGAGCCATGCCAAACAGGCTCCAGCACCTCTTATGTACATGCCAGCTTTACCCCTTTACCTCCTGGAGAAGCAAGAGTCCAGATGCGTATCTCCTAAAACAGGATGGTAATTAAGTTTGGGGGCTACTTTACAGTTCAACAGATATTTATTTAATTCCAAGAATATCTCATATTTACAAGAAAACTTAAAACCACATTTTCTTATTTTGATTCTGCTTAACTAAAAGCTCTGTTGCATTTGTGTATCTACAAAGGCCATCAACTTCAAAGGAAGAATTCTGCCTAGCCAAAAGGTTAAAATTTCTAGTGTGCAACAATTTCCAGTTCCACAGTATAAAATGCTACACACCTGAAATTTTAACCTATTGGCCAGACGGGATTCTTCCTTCCATCTACCTTCTCAGTCACTGGAAAAACTTGGACCATTGGGAACATATCTCTCTTTTTGATTCTGAGAGTCTTCTGCAAAAGTCATTGCTTCATATACACTATAAAAAAGAAGGTTTTCTTCATCCTTTTTGCAGTACTCTCCCCGGGCCAGGGAGTCCCTCACAGAGGGATTGCATTGAGCCAGCAGAACCCGGATGCCAATAGCTTCATAATCTCTGCGAACTTCTTTCAGTGTATGGATCCCTGCTGTATCTAAAAACTGTATTGCACTACAGTCAATCACTATTGTATGGAACTCTAAGGGATCATGGGAAAGTTGCACTGAAACTTCATCCTGGATTCCACTGAATGTTACTGTTTCCCTTTTGATCTTTTTCTTTGCTGCCTTCCTCTGAGCTGCTTTTACTAAGACTGGGTTGAGAGTTTTTTTGTATAAAGCAGATTTAAAATATTCTTTGTTTACATAGTAGAGTGGGGCCACAAAGCGGAAAATCTTGATGCCTGACTTGGTCTGAAGGTTCTTGTAGGCAGACATGGATTCAAAGACTTCAGAATCTTCCACCAGGCCAAGCAATGAAGTCCTTGGCTTCTGAGTGCGGAGGATGACACAAAACATAGAAAAACAAACCCCAGTAAGCAGGCCTATTTCAGTACTGATCAGTGCAGAGGACAGCATGGTAACAAACCAGATAACTGTGTCCATTCTGCTAATCCTCCACATCTGGGGCAGATCCTTAAATTTACGTAGGGCTCCCCGGAGATTTACAATAGTTATCACACCAAGGACACTTTTCTGCAGGGAGAAGAACAAAGGAGCTATGACCAAGAGGACCAACAGAAGAACCAGAGCTGTCACCACACCAGAAACCTGAGTTTGACAGCCTGTGGATTCCTTCACCAGTGTCTTTGCAAGAGCTGCACTAGTAGTGAAGCAGTGGAAGAAGGAAGGGATGATATTGCAAAAGCCGATAGCATACATTTCCTGATTAGCTTTGACTGTGTAGCCATGTTTCTTGGCAAACATCTCAGAAAGTGATACAGTGATAGCAAACCCAATGATAGCAATAGCTATTGCATCTATAGCCACTCTAGGAATTAAGTTCCAGTCAGGTGCTTTGGGTGGCATAAACCCAGTGGGAATATACCCAGCAATACTGGTGCCGTATTTCTCATTCAGTTTTCCAAAATGAGAGGCTAATGTGGCTGCCACAACAACAAAGAGTTCAACAGGAACCGGTGCCTTAAGCTTGGACTTAAAGCGCTCATTGAGTTCTTTGGTTGGCAGAAGAACCAGAAGGCACAAAAGGCTGGTGATGAGATCACAGATATTGGTCTTATGAATGTTTCTGAATACATGTATCCAAGTAGTGATGAGTGATCCCACTCCACCACTCCGAGGAAGGCTGAGTCCAAGGAGGTACTTGACTTGAGATGTAAGAATAGTGAAGGAGGCACCAGTGACAAATCCACTCAGCAAGGCATCAGAGAGGTAGACTGAAACAAAGCCCACTTGAAAGAAGCCCATCGCTACCTGGAAGAAAGGATATACAAGTGTTAAATATAAATGGAGAAGACCTTATAAATCCTATATTCCCCTAGCATTTCTTTGTGTGGAGACACACTATCAGAGCACCACAGAATGTCAAAGCTAGAAACAAAAACACAATCATTTATCAAAATCCCCTCATTTTACAAACAGAGGGCTCATTTTACTGATACTCAGAGGCCTGAACAAGTTGCCCAAGGTCACACAGTGTTACTAACTAACCCAGACAAGAAGTCAGGATTCCTACTTTCTTGTTCAATATTTCTTAAACTTGAATAAGGTTCAGACTGCTTTGAAAAAGAAAAAGTTTCCCAAGGATCTATGAGAAATCCTAAAGATGCAAACTGGAAAAATTCTAACTTAAAAAACATTTATTTTTCTTTAAATCACATATCATTACTATAAAAGTAAAGTTTTAACTGATAAAACAAAAAACTAGATTCACATCAAAATGGAATCACACTTTAAAAATTATTATAGAGCTCTCTTTAATCTAACTTCAAACTGAAAAACGACTTTCAGCCAGTGTACATGTGCTTATGCCATACTGCCTCCCATGTTAATTCTACATCCTCAGAGATACAATATTTTATTTCTTTTTCTTCTTCCCAATTAATTCTTCCTCAAAATTCTAGTGTACCCTTTCTCATTCTTGGTGAGGCATACTAATGAAAAAGCAAAAGTGAACTCTGAGGACACAACTCGTCTGTTAACCAGCCTCTTCTCCCTTCCCTCCTACCCAGGCACCTAATAGAGTGAGCTACTCTTCTGCATCCCATGTTGGTTCTAAATGTCTCTAACAGAGAAGAGGGTTAATGCTGGCACTGACTCCTGAATGCCAAAAGGCACAGGCATGATGATAATGGCAGACCAGTGGACTCTGTGGAGACCCAAGAACTTCATTTCTAATTCTTTTCCTGGCTGATAGTATGAAATAGAGGTCCCCAACTTGTTTCCTCCCCAACAGTCCGAGAAAACTACAAACTTTAGTGAGAGTCACTGACTAGAGCAGCAATTCTAAAAGAAAGGGGGAAGTCACCTACAGTTTAAAAAACTTGCACTCTTCCTCTCTCAACCCCCAGTCACCCTCTTGCCTGTTAGTGCTGACTCTGCCAGTAACCAACCACAAGTAACTTCAAGCAAATCTGATAGTTCTTGATATATAAAATTAAGAAGTTGAACTAGGTGGTCTGAGGTCCCTTTCTGGTCTAAATTTTTACAACCAAATAATTAAATTCTGGCTGGCTGACATTCACTAGTTAAAAGGCAGCCTAAAGTTGAGAAAATAGAAGCGGCCTGATCTTACTTGTGGAGTCAAACCAGGGTTCAAATTTTGGCGCTACCTCTTCCATATCCTGGGTACTCAATGATAGCTTTAGTATGATTGCTAAGATCCCTGACAGAACTGAGACTTCATGTATAGTGATTTCTTTTGCCAGAAAGAATCGCTTATTCCATCGTTTCTTACCTGATAAACTCCAGCCACAAAGGTTACAGTGCTGCCAACTATAATTGCATAGCAACTTCTGTCACATGTCTTGTCTGACATCTGGTTTACTAATGAGCTCTCATTTGAAGCAGCATGGACAGTATCATAGCCAGCTATGTATAGTTCTCGGTCAACTACTTCACCAATCATAAGGCACAGTACTCCAAAAATGCCTACAGAGATGTGACGGGAGGTACCCAAAATGAAATAAATGAGGCTGGCAAAAAAAGATGTGTACAGACCAAAGATAGGTTCTTGGCCAGCCAAGAGAGAATAAGCAATGGATTGGGGCACCAATAAGATGCCCACAATCAAGCCAGACATCACATCTCCTAAAATGTTTTTCTTCAGATCATATTTTGGGAGCCACTGCAAAACAGGAAGGAAACCAAAAATGATATTTTTGGCTTTGGTTGAATTGCACTGGCAACTCTTCTCTAGTTTTTTGATAACAAACTTCTTGAAGTTATTATCTGATTTCTCTTGAGGCTCTAAATAGATCCTACGGTGTCTAAAAAGATCACTGGACTCAAACTGCCGGAAGTCATTACGTGATTCCTCTTCATGCTCCAGGTGGATCCCAGATGGAGCTCTGTACTGGTCATTTCCTTTAACTGAGTCCTTGGGTGAAAGGTCATTTTGCTCTTCATTTTTCAAAGACATTTCTGGAGATAGATGTTTCAACCTCCTATCCCAGAGAAAACAGCAGGGTTAACTTATTATGTAATTCTCAGTACTCACATATTTTAACAGTCCTACTTGTCATGCATGAGAGTTAAGACGAGTTCAATTTAGGGGTAGGTATCTTTCGTTCACTTTCCTTAGTTGAGCCTCATTTGTCTTGACCCAGGAAAAAAGAATCAGACCTTAAATAACCAAGTTAAAGCAAACAATTTATGGAGTACAGGGCTTTCCAGAAGTATAAACTATCAAGGATTCTTCTCCACCTCTGCTGGCACCTTACGCAGTTTTTTTCCTTCAGAAACAGTATCAGGGTAGCCTGTCTCCTCCTTTCTACCTGCTATTAACTGTCTTACTTTCAGGTTTTTTACTCTAAGGAATTCTGAAAAGAGGTTCTGGTCTCAAACCTTGACATCTACCGTACCTGCAACAGTCCCTGAAACAAGGAAGATGACTGATTTTTTTTTAAAGAGGCGGGGCCCTTTTAAAATAACCTACTAACTGTTGAAAATAAACAGAAAGGAAATGTGAGTGACACAGTAAACTTAAATATTTTGGGAAATTAAAAAAAAAAAGGACAGGATGCATTTGGATCTTTGAACATATTCTAGTTTGGTAGAAAAGAAGAGAGTTAAAGTGATAAGGGACCGTTGAAGGAAACAAACCACCAGCATGGGGCGGACTGATGGGGCAAGTGTCTGATACATGCTCTGAAAGGTTCTGGTCTATTCACTCTACTTTGTTTTGGTATAGTCACACCTGTCCTGTGCGCAGGATCTATATACATGCAAAGACAGCTTTGCTTTACTATTCCAAGTACACACTGTGAAACATAAGCTGAATGGAGGAATGATGGTGCCAACATGTCAACTTGGAGGGCGATCCAGGTGACCCCGCATCTCTGGGTCCTAAAGCACAAACCCAGTGCCACATGACCTGTCACTAAGGACTACAGGAAAACAAAGAAGGTAGAAACAAGTAAACAGAGAGGAGGGACAACAACAACAAAAAATAAGTCTTGTAGTAAAAGAGAAGGAAAAAGAAACAGGCCTTCAGAGGAACAGAGCGTCCACTGGCAAACACCTCACCAATCAGTGTCTTTGTGTTAGCTGCTTGCTTAGCTTGGAATGGCCATCCAGCTCTCACCTGTCAAGATCCTAACCATTAAAAACCCAGTTAAAACTCCTTCTCTTCTTCAAAGCTCTGACCAGCCTTCCTCAGTCCAAATGAACCTTAACCAACTGGCACTTCACACCTGCACTACAGTACTGACCACACTCGTATATTAAGAGTCTCCCCAGCTCCTGGGGGAAAGGATATCTTGTTCATCTTTGTAATCATCAACAATGTACAGTAACTGTGAGACAGCAGGCTTACAAAATGTTTGAATGAAGGAAAGGATAAATGAATAAACAAATTTATGAGTGTGGCCAATAAGAGGTGAAATAATATTAAATAAAGGACTCAGGGACTTTCCCATTTCAGAACTGACAGAAAGATAGGCCCTTGTGAGGTGCCATAAGCCTAATATTGCCAAGAAGTCATAACCCAGGACCCATGACCCATTCAAGCACATAGTATTTGTAAAAGCAACCCACATTAATTTTGTTTAGGATAAAAGGACTGTAGCTGGTCATCCCACTGAACAAGAGTAAAATAACAGTTACATTGATGGTCTTGTTAAATAAACAAGGAAGGAAAGAACACAATTAGATGACTACTTACCCTGAGCAAGTCAATCAGACTGATGAAAACACACAGCAGCTCTTCATTCCTCAATGCAACTGGTCCATAACTTTCTTCTCACCTTCTACTTACAGGCCAAGCTTGCTTGAGTGCATTCTCTATGTCATTCTATTTTGGAATAGCTCTTAGTGATTTCTGAGTCAAAAGGCTTTTCCAAACCTAAGGTATGCAAAAGAAGCATAAGAAAAACTAATAAAATTCAAATCTTGCCCTATATGACAGCTAGCTGGAAAGGAAAAGATAAAAATTAATACTAGAAAGTGCGACAGAGTGATGGAAACTGTAAGGAAGAACTGAGATGAAATACAGAAAGTGAGAAACACAGTAACAGAGATAATGAATGCCTCTGACAGGACCATCCGACCTGACAAAGCTAAAAAAAAGAATTGATGAAATTGAAGATAGGTCGATAGACATTACCCAAACTAAACAGAGAAAAACAGAATTTAAAAAAAAATCAAAAACAGTAAGAGAACATTCAAGAGTGGTGGGGTGTATTAGATAATCAAATTTATGCATAATTAGAATCTCAAAAGGGGAAGACATAGAGTGGGTAGAAGGAATATTTGAAGACATAATAGTCAAGAATTTTCCAAAATTAGTGACAGACACCAAACTATAGATCCAAGAATCTCAGAGGATACTAAGAAGGACAAATATAAAATGAAACCAAACAACATAGCACCACACACCTACACAGATTGTATTCAAACTGCTGAAAACAAAGATAAAGATAAAATTCTGAAGACAGCCAAAGGAAGGGGGGAAAAAAAACATGCTAAATATATAGGAACAAAGATATGAGTTATAGCAGGCTTCTTTTTGGAAACCATATAAGCCAGAAGATGGAGTGATACTTTTATCACAGAAAGATAACTGTTAACCCAGAAAAAAACGTTTTTTGAAGGATGAAGAAGAAATAAAAACTTTCTCAGACAAACACGAAGAGAATTTATTGCCAGCAGACCAGCACTACCACTACTACTGCACACACATACACCAGACAAAAACTCAGGTGTGCACAATACACAGCAAAGAAATAAAGTCTAGGAAATGGAACAAATGAAAATAGAATTTATTTTTTAATTAAAACTCTTTAATTGCTCTAAAAGATAACTGCCTAAAGTAAAAATAGAAATGCATTTTGTTTACAGCACATGCAAAATAAAAAGCATAACAGTATAAATTACGGTAGGCAGAATTAAGGATTCTAAGATCTTGTACTATATATGAAGTAGTACAATACTATGAAAAATGTATACTGTAAACTCAAGGGTACCCACTAAATTTTTTAAGATATAAATAATAAGCTACTTGTGGAGATAACGTAGAATTGTAAAAAATTCTCAATTAACCCAAATGAAAAATGAGACCCAAAACAGATAGAACACATTGAAAATAGCTAGCAAGATGGCAGAATTTTATTCAGACATATAAAAAATCAAATTAAGTGTGATTTAGTGTGAATAGTCTAAACATACCAATTAAACAGATTGCCAGATAAGATTTTAAAAGACCCAATTACATGCTGTCTATAAGAAACCCACTTTAAATATAAAGATACAGATTATAATAAACTGAAATGACTTACTGAATTTAGTAATTCATGTAGCTTGTAAGTAACTTAGCCAGATAATAAAATCCAGATTTTAAGACTCTAAGAATAGCTCTTTTTTGAGCATGTTACTACCCATATCACTAATTAGCTTTCTTTAACTTCACTTATCTCTAAACACTTTGAAATTCAGGTACCCTATAGATCCCAGTTTCACCTACCTGCTACCCAAAATGACCTAGCATTGACAACAACAAACTGGTGTCCAACTCTCCTTTCTCTATGTTCATGGCCTTGGTCCTTTTCCATCTCCAGCTCTCAAAAACTTAGGTGGAGATAAAACAGATATTCACTCACAAGCACTAGAAGTGGAACTGATTTAGCCATCAGTTTAAATCCAAAAACTATCTATAGTCTTTTACTGATCCTAGTCACCCACTAGAACGCTTCTCAAAAACTATGTTTTTCCCTTTTTCAAGCCTATTTTAAAAACCCCAAAACAAAACTACATTAAAAATTATCTTAAACTAAATTGTAGGTATGACCTCCATATGAATTAAGCTCCTTAAGAGCAAGTTCCATTCTGGTTCATCTCTGTATCCCCTACTGTGTCCAAGTATATGCTTTCCAAAACAGGAATGAAAATATTTGCTAAATAAATAACTGAAATACAGAAAAGGTAGGATGCAAAGCAGTATTTATTTTCAGGTGGGAATATCTACTTTGGAACACATTTTTCAAGTATCCTTTTTTTTGCACAAAAATCCTCTCATTCCCTCAAGCCTGTTACCGCTTAATTATAGTATTCACCAACTGCTTCATGAAAATTAAGACGTTATAGTATTTATCCTTGAAATATAGTTGATAGCCAGACCCCCATTTTTAAAAAGTTGAAATACCTACTATATATTCCATGAAATTCAATAAAATAGAATTCTCCTGTATCATACAGGGTAGTCTCTCCCTTTATCAACATTGATGTTTGAGAGTGAGAGATAAAAAAGGCTCAGGAGGAAAACGCTGAACCTTTCACATTATCTTGCAGGGACTGGAGAAAAATAACCAACAAAATATTTGAAAAATACATTTACACATTCATATATTAAAGTATAATGGCAGTTCAGGCAACATAGAAAGAACATTTCTGTACTTTCTTCTTTGATCAGGCACATGAAGTTGTGACCACTTAGTTCTCTTTTCCTGGTGATGAAACAGCAGCACTGGCACTATGAATTACCATGTGAATTACTGATTCTGGGAAAGATTGAGGACAGGAGGAGGAGGAGGCAACAGAGGATGAGACAGCTGGATGGCATCACAGACTCAATGGACATGAATCTGAGCAAACTCTGGGAGACAGTGAAGGACAGGCAAGCCTGGTGTGCTGCAGTCCATGGGCTCGCACAGAGTCAGACACGACTGAACAACTGAACAAAGAGCGCTGAACTAAAAGAGAGGGACATCCCTTCTATGTGAGCCTGACAGCAGTCGGCCAACTTCTTTCTGGAATTTTGCAGATATAAGAGAAACAATGTCTACTTTTTTTGGTTAGTAATTATAGCATATTTTAACCAATAGTGTATATAAGACAGTTTTGCAATTTGTGAAATTGAAATGGCTTTTTGGAAGGCAACAGTCTTCAGAGATTGGTAAAGTCTCCCTCTGAAGCATAATGGTTCCA